GTCTTTACTCACTGGGCTACCTTGCCAGCCATTTAAAAATTTTTTTATTAAAGTTTTTTTTATACAACATTTTTTGATACAGGGTTTCTCTGTGTAACTTTGTAGAGCAGGCTGGCCTCGAACTCAAAGAGATCCACTTGCCTCTGCCTCCCAGATGCTGCAATTAAAGGTATGCACCACCACCTCCTGGCTCTATACAACATATTTTGATCATATAGGTTTCTCTCCCTCAGCGTCTCCACACCTCCTTTCCCATCCAACTTCATCTCTCTCTCTCTCTCTCTCTCTCTCTCTCTCTCTCTCTCTCTCTCTCTCATGACATTGTCTCTCTGTGTAGCCTTGGCTGTCCTGGAACTCACTAAATAGGTCAGGCTGGCCTCAAAATCATAAAGATCTACTTGCCTCTGTCCTCCACATGCTCAGACTGTGTGCACCACCATGCCCAGCCAGATTAGTTTTTGAGACAGAGTCTCCCTATATAGCCCAGGTTAGCCAGGAACTTGCAATCCTGTCTCAGCCTCCAGAGTTCTGGGATTATGAAGATTCTCTATTATGTGTGCCCTAATCATAACTTTTCCAATGAATGTCCCCATTCACAGTGGACCTGCTGGCTGATGGCATAGTGGGATCCAAGGGAGAAATTTTCCTCCCTGTCTTCACACCCTCTGCACATACACTCACTAGCTCCATTTCACTAAATACTTCTTGTGAGGAAGCAGGCAGGGCAACAGACCTCTCAAACAAGCCTCTGGTCTTTCTACCTACCACACCTTCCACCAGATGACAATTTACTAATTTCCCCATTCTTTTTTTTTAAGATTTATTTATTTATTATGTATACAGTATTCTGCCTGCATGTATGCCTCCAGGCCAGAAAAGGACATCAGATCTCATTACGGATGGTTGTGAGCCACCATGTCGTTGCTGGGAATTGAACTCAGGACCTCTGGAAGAGCAACCAGTGCTTTTAACCCCTGAGCCATCTCTCCAGCCCTAATTTCCCATTCTTAATGGAAACTTGCTACAGATGCATGGGAAGAACTTAAGCAAGAAACTGTCCAAAGGGGAGGTGAAAAATGTCCAAAAAATGACTATTGTGATTCCTCAGAGAGAGACAGAGAGAGAGAGAGAGAGAGAGAGAGAGAGAGAGAGAGAGAGAGAGAGAGAGAGAGAGAGAGAGAGAGAGGTAGTGTTTAGGCAACCGCTCATATCTGCATTGGAGCTACTTCCTAGTGTCCTATCAACTGCACAAGCTGGGCGAACTTCCCCCTCTCTGGTACCCTTTGACGGACTATAAAAAGCTCCAAGTTTACTTTCAGTTTGCCCTCACCTCTACAGGAAACAACAAGGGCTGCAGTGAAAGGAAAAGCTTTTGTTTTAAAAAAAGAATGGGAGGGAGAGATGGCTCTGAGGTTAAGAGCACTGGCTGCTCTTGCAGAGGACCTGGGTTCAATTCCCAGCACCTACAAGGCAGCTCACAACTGTCTGTAACTCCAGTTCTTAGGACTCTAGCACCCTTTCTGGCCTTCCTGGGCACCAGGAGCAAACCTGGTGCCCAGACATATATGCAGGGAAATCCTCTTTTGCACATGAAATGAAGTAATAAAATTAAAGAACACGTCTGATCCTCAAACTGTCTGGAAACTGAATTCTGACCTTGAAACTGAATGACTTATGAGCTCACTCTAACAGACCTTGGGCAAAGCTCACACATATTTGGCAAGAGGTTGACGTAAGGAATATGTAAGGACGTGACTGTAGTTAAGATCCACTCAGTTCTCCTTCTGTCATAATTCCTCCTCGAGTCAAAGGTGACGATTGTCATTGGGCAGAGATGGTGAAATCACTTTACCAGCAGCTGTGCCCAAAAGTGGACACAAGTAGACGTGGTATCTCTACTGTGAGTGCTAGAGGCCTGGCCCCAGCCCCCTGACCACACCTGCTCATGCACTTTTCATTGTGTCTCTCTGTGAGTACTGTGTTTTGTTTAAGACAGGGTCTCATGTAGCCCAGGGCTCACTATGTAGTTAAGGATGACTTTTAACTCCTGATCCTCTTTCTTCCATCTCCCGAGTGTTTGTGGGCATTTTAAAACAAGGTAATTCATCAGTGATCCCATGGAGGCAACATTAAATAGATTAGCCATCTGCTCTCTTTTTGTTATGTTTTGTTTTTGTTTTTCTAGACAGGGTTTCTCTGTGTAGTACTAGCTGTCCTGGAACTTGATTTGTAGACCAGGCTGGCCTCAAATTTACAGAGATCCACCTGCCTCTGCCTCCCGAGTGCTGCAACTTAAGGTGTGTGGCACCACCACCCCACAACAATTTGTTCTTACCACCCACACCCATTGACAAGTTTCTATGTATTTGGCACACGATTTTACATCATTCTTTTACTTGAAATTTGTGGAAATAAGTGTGTTATAGGACTTATTTGTATATGTAGGATTCATTTCATGTGAAGTCCTGACATTTCCTCCAATGTGTCAATATTTGGAAACATGGTCACTGCAGATGAAGTTAAAATGAGACCAATAGAGTGGTCCTCAATATGGCTGGTGTCCTCCAAAGCGGATAATGAGGTGTGTGGAGGAGTGTCTGTGTGTAGACATAGTCACCAATATATGAGCTAAAAACAAAGGTGTCAGAATGAAGCCAACATTGTCAACACTGGGATCTTGATTTAAGACCCAGGTACTGTGAGGAAAATAACTGTGTTGTTAAAGCTACTCAGTCTATGGTGTTTTGTTACAGCAATTTGAGAAAACCAGCACAGTAACCTAAGATCAAGAAACTAAAAGCCTGGTGCATTTGCTCATTCAAACCAGAAAGCTACAGACACGCTGGTCTTCACGTATTTTTTTTTTAAGATAAGAAGGCTGGGGCTGCTGGTATAGAATGCTGGTATAGCATGCCCAAAGGCCTGGGTTTGGCTCCCAGCACTCCACAAACTGGGTGTGATAGCAAGCACACGTATGTAATTCTGGCACATAGGAAGGCGAATCAGCAGTTCAAGGCCATCCTCAGCTAATAATGAGTTCAAGGCTAGCCTGGGCTAAGTGATTGAAGGCACTGTGCTATTAAAAAAAAAGACAGAGAGGGAGTGCTATTGGATCATACCTGTCACCGCACAAGGTATGACAAGTAATGTCATTGCTGTACTTGTACTGACATGTGGCCAGGCACCCATTTCTGTTCCTGTTCAGATATGAGCATAAGGCGCTGAGCCAAGAGCACCTTGGAAACACCCTAGATTTTTGGTTCATTCATTTTCTCCTTTCTTTGTTTCCCTTTGCAACTGAGAGCCAAATCAACGAGCTGGAAACACAAATGACAGCCTCGCGCACACCAACACCTTCCCCATGCTTTCCGTCTGCTTTAGAGAGGGTCTCCCTGTGAAGCCTTGTCTATCCTGGGACTAATGTAGACTAGGCTGGCCTCTGCCTCTGGAGTGCTGTATTAGCCACCCAACCCAGCTCCTTCTTCGTTTCTTGCTAATGATGAAATATACATACAAGGCTTTGTTTTCAGTTTAGTTTTATCATCAGAGTCAGCACGGGATGTGACATTTCTGGGAACTTTTGCAACTTAAAGGATTACATACGTGTCTCTGGTAGAGACACACCCGTGGCCAACTGGTCACCCACGTGTCACAAGTTCAGAATTCACTGTGGTCTGTCTTGCCGGAGCAAGTGATTACTAGGGACTCATTACATCAGTCCAAAGGTTTTTCCCTAAAAGGTCTGAGTAAACTTGTTCTCTGTGTCAAACAGAGAGCTGAGGTTCTAGCTCCGTGGTAGAGTACTTGCCATGCATGAGGCCCTGGGTTCAAGGCACAGTACCACAAAGCTGCAGAAATAGAAATGAGCTTCAGCAAGGCCACTTCCTGTATTCCTCCAACGTCAGCATAGTCAGATAAAAATGAGTTTCTAAACTCCCAGGTATAAGGAGCTTACCTGTGAGATCTCATTGCTACCGGAAGTAAGAACAGGATAGCTTGGAGTCACTTCGAAGAAACAACCCCAGGACATGTGTCACTGTGACTCAACATTTCCTTTACCATTTGAGGGAACTTTGTGTTTTCAGTCATAAACTCTGCTACCTATTTATCAAGCCATGACCTTCCCCCTCTAGAAAAGTTCCTTATATATCAAAGGAGAAGTACTTTTTTTTTCCTTACAAACTTCATTTTCATCTTCTTAGTCAAGAAAAGCTTTAGGATGATTCAGTGGGACTAAACAGTGCTAAACGATAACCAAACTCAAGGAGGGATAACCACATGGATGACTATAAACATGCTAACCTTCTTCTGGCTGTCCTTAAAATATTTCTTGGTGTTAGCATTAGCAAATGCCTAGCCAAAACTGAATGTTTGGTAAGAACAAAGCTAAAGAAGAAAAAGGAATAGCTAAATTTATCCTAATTAAAAAAATAAAAAGCTCACCCACTGTTAAAATAACAGTACCATCAGAACGCCTTCTAACTTGAAGCCCAGCATGGCTACACATACCTGTTACCCAAGCACTTAGGAGGTGGAGGCAAAAGTATGGGGAATTCTGGGTCACCTTCAGCTGTATAACACAGTGAAAGCCATCTTATAGTACATGAGACCCTACCTCAAGATGAAATAAAGATGGAATTCACGCAGACAACTCAGGGGTCAGATGATATTCTAGAACATTTCAAGATCATTATCTCAATAGATAGGTCATTTGGGCAATTTTCTAGTTATTTCTTGAAATCTTTAAATGAATAAACCAAAGATAAGAGTACCTTCCAGGCATTCTGAAAGGTTTTAAGGCTGCCACTTGCCTTAGAGTTTAACTTTTTTTTTTTTTTGACCAAACTCAAATGAACTCACACTAGAGATTTCAGGAACCTCAAACCCTCCTTTGCCTCCTCTCCCACAATAGAACACTCTGTAACTTCAGATGGGGATAAGCCCTGGTACAGATGCTGAGGTTTTCATAGCAGAGAATGGGGAGGGAGGGGGCTTCTTACCTTGAACTGAAGATCCCCAAACCAGGATGAAGGCGAAAACCAGGATAAGCTTGCTGCCCATGGGAACCTGCCTCATCCTGACCAGCTCAGCCCAACTCGCCAGCCTCTTGGTTAGCAAATGCTGCAGGGTGCTCTCCCCGTCCCTTTTAGAAAAAGGTTCCAAAACCTCAGACCCTGCCCAAGAGCACACGTCACCGCTTCCTGAACAAATAGAAAGAGATCTACATCAACACCCAGAAAGAAGAAGAAAAAGTTGCAAAAAAAACAACTATTCATACCCATGATGAAACACCGGACTCTCCCCAAGCTTTTGTTTTTTGTTTTTTTTTCCAAAAAGTTTTGCTGTTTGTCATTTGCATGCTAATTTAAAAAAAAGTTTTCCCCATAAAAAAAAGACAAATCAGCATTCAGAACACCGTTTTATTTTGTTTTTTTTTTTTCTTCCTTTCTTTCAGGTACTGATCTAAACAGATGAGAACTCAGCGGTTTCCAGGCTGGTGAGATGAGGGAGCTCGGATCAGGCTCATCCCACTTCTCACATCAGAGAGAAGCATAGCTCAAGGAGTCAGGCTTGAGCAGGGAGCCTTCCAGGCTGGGTTCTCACCCACCAGGAATGAGTGGTCTCAGTTCACACACAGTTTCTTCTTGGAGTCAGCATATTTTCATTGGATCCCTGGTTTTCCCTCTACCTCACAGATAGAGGGGTGGTGGTGGTGGTGGCAGCAGCAGCGGCGGCGGGCGCACGCCTTTAATCCCGGCACTCCAGGCAGAGGCAGACTGATCTCTGAGTTCGAGACCAGTCTACAGAATGGCCAGGGCTGTTACACAAAGAAACTGTCTGCGGTGGTAGGGTGGGGTGGGGATTGATCAGTCAATCAATCAATCAAAATAAAAGCTAAAACAGTAAAACAAAAGCAACAAAATCCCTTAACATTCTTTGTCCCTTTACATCAACTGTTTCCCAGGGGTTGATTCCTTCATGTTTTCATCTTTTCTCCTGTTTTGTTGTTGTTTTTTATGTTGAAATTATTTTTTAGATCTTTCTGGCCTTGAGTAAGTCAGAAATGAGGAACAAGAGCAGGCTCCCCCCTCAGAGGGCTATGGGACCTCAAAACACAAGCCACACATACTCCTGTACATGAAGAACTAGCCTTTCCCTGTCCCTGGAGAGAGCACGGGCCTCGGGAGCTGGGGAAGGAGGGCTCGGTGCCACGGTCTCACAGGAAGCATGGTTTACACTGTATCTTTACACAGGCAGCTTCCCTCTTCCTTGCTCTTGAAGGTTCAACCACTCTCCATTTCAGGGGTGCATCCCTGGGCTGCTCAGATTCTCGCCTACTTTCCATTCTATGCTCCCACCCCTTGGACGGGAGGGAGGGGTTTCCCTCCCCTTGTTCTAGGCTTCCTGCTGATTTCTTACCATTTCCGGCTAAGGGCAAGCCTCAGAATGTAAAAGCTCAGGAGCCCTGACAGAGATAATGGTACAGAACTGACTCCCCTCAGGACCCTCTCAGAGCCAGGGGATCCTCAACTCGCACACAGACCCAGCGCATGTCCTGTGTGGAATATTAGTATCTGACGGGACTTCAGTCAGCTGTCTTTGGTTCCTTTTCATCCCAACCTCCAATTAACGCCCTGATAACAAAACAAAAGATCCTGTTAGTTGCTTCAGTAAGCTTCCCACAGCGCCTCTGAGACAATTACAAGGGGTGATGGTTAGTGTAGTCAGTTTCACACAACCTTCGATCAAGATCATGTTGGAAGAGGACCTCAGTGAGGGAGGATTGCCAGAGCAGGTGGTCTTGAGGGGAGGAGGGGCGGTTGTCTTGGTTATCCTATTTGATGTGGGAAGACCCCCACAGGCAGCATGATGCCCTGGCTTAGAGGTCAAAATAGAGGTCAGGAGAGTCAAGCAAGAGTAGAGAAAACCAGCATGCATTTGTGTCTCTCGGCTCTGGATTGTGTATGTGCTGCAATTAGCAGTTTCAACGTCAAGCTGCATTGACTCCCTCACAGTAATGGCCTGAAGTGTGAGCTAAAACGGACCCTTTCTTCTCTAAGTGGCGTTTTGTCAGGATGTTTTATCGCAGCAATAGAAAGACAGCCTGAAGGAAGAGAAATTGTGCCTGAAAATGATCGCTATGGGATTTTATCACTTGGAGACATTTTCCCCGAGTCTCTGAGTCTTGGGAGAATTATTTACTCGCTTACATATTTATTGAGACAGGGTCTCATGTATCCCCAGCTGACCCCGAGTTTGTGTCGCCAAGGATGACTTTGAGCTCCCAAACCTCCTGCCACTACCTTCTGTAATCTGGAAGGCTCCCACGTCTCGAGCCTCCTCTGCTCTCACACCGCGGGTGTCAGTGGCCAGACCGTTCTAGAACACACGTGCCCGAAACCATACTCTAGAGACAGATGAGCAATGCAGAAGAAAGAAGATTGACATGTGAAAGGGAAGTCTTCCTTCTAGTCAGTGTGGCTTAAGGGTATCCGCTAAAAGTTTCTATTCCGGATGATCCCAGATGAACTTGCTGTAAATAACCCCAGGCTGGGGACAGCACTAGTTTGATCACTTCTGAAGCTGACTACACTATTCTCCCTGACAGCGTGTTTAGAGAATTTCCAAAAGACTTTGGTTAAAGATCACCTCTTAGGTGGGCAGTGGTGGCGCACACTTTTAATCCCAGCACTTGGGAGGTGGAGGCAGGTGGATCTTAGTGAGTTCGAGGCCAGCCTGGGCTACAAAGTGAGTTCCAGGACAAGCTCCAAAGCTATAGAGAAACCCTGTCTCGAAAAAACAAAAATTAAGATCACCTCTTTAAAGGGTGTCTTTTACCTAGAGTCTGCCTTAGTGGGAAACGCCCCTCCTGACTTTCTGATTTTAGGTATATGTGTGTTTTCCAGATGGAGGTTCCATACAGTCACTGGAATTCACTTTGTAGCCAAGACTGACCTCAAACTCTCTGCAACCCTTCTGCCTCCACCTCCCCGTCGATGGGATTACAGGCATGCACCACCATGCCCAGCTCTTAAATCCATTAATTACTTTTTTGGGAAGAAACTCAAGGAAAAATTTAAATGACTGCTAGCTTGAATCTAGTAGAATTTGAAATATTGGTTTCTCAGCATTTAGGAAGCAGAGGCAGGAAGACCGTGACTCCACAGTCAAGTCAAGGCCTGCCTGGGCTTCCTGAGATCCTAGTTTCAAAAGCAAAAAGAACAAAGGAACAAATAGCCATTAATGCATGCAAACCCTGAAGTTATTGAGCTTAAAAGGGCTAAATAGTGCCGCATAAGAGCCAAGCGCTGACTATCACTGCTGTCGGTGACAGGGACAGGGGGACATGGTGTTTGTCTTAGGAATCGTTTCATAGGTACCAAAAATAATGGAAACAAATCTCTTGGGGAAACACTCAGGCATAAGGGAGCAGAAGCAGACCTTTGTTTTCCCGTTTGGTTTTTAGAGACAGGGTTTCTCTGTGTAACAGCCCTGGCTGTTCTGGAACTCACTCTATAGACTAGGCTGGCCTCGAACTCAGAGATCCACCTTCCTCTGCCTCCCAAGTGCTGGGATTAAAGTCATGCACCACCACTGCCCAGCAGAAGTAGACCCTTTGAAAAGAAGTATTTAAAAACTGGCCTAGCGCCGGGCGTTGGTGGCGCACGCCTTTAATCCCAGCACTCGGGAGGCAGAGGCAGGCGGATCTCTGTGAGTTCGAGGCCAGGCTGGACCGACAGCCTCCAAAACAGAGAAACCCTGTCTTGTAAAACCAAAAAAAAAAAAAAAAAAAACTGGCCTAGCATGGTATCGGATGACTATGACGCCAGCATTTGGAAATAGAGCCAGTAGAATCAAGAGTTTACAATTAGCCAGCTGTGGTGGAGCATACCTTTGATCCCTGCACTTGGGAGGCAGAAGCAGGAGGACTTCTGTGAGTCCAAGGCCAGCCTGGTCTACACAGTAAGCTCCAGGAAAACCAGGACTGTGTAGAGAGACTCTGTCTCAAAAACCAAAAAAGAATTTGGGGTCATCCTGAAGTACCTGATTCAAAAGAGACTTTATTTGACATCAAAACTCTTCACCTGGCCTTATCCACAGCACAGTAGTATTGTTTAGACTTCACAGTCCAACTTCACTCCTATGCCCAGAAGAACCCCCAAATTAAGCTCACAGTACCTGGCATTATTGTTGTTGTTTTGTTTTTTGTTTTTTTGAGACAGGGTTTCTCTGTAGCTTTGGAGGTTGTCCTGGGACTAGCTCTTGTAGACCAGGCTGGCCTCAAACTCACAGAGATCCACCTGCCCCTGCCTCCCGAGTGCTGGGTTTAAAGATGTGCACCACCAACGCCCGGCCAGTACCTGGCATTATATTAAAGTTGCCAGTCAGAGGAAGAAGGAAGCTCTCCCTCCTTAATGTGCAACCACAGAGCTTTAAGCAGTTCTTCAACGGCCTTTTCATTTCCATCTCCAGGGGCTGACCACACTGACCAATGAAATTACTACAGTTTCTCAAGTGCCTCTCAGCCATTTTAGCCTCCTCTACTGAGAATTCTCTGTTTAGTTCTGTACCCCACCTTTTAATTGGATCCTTTGGTGTTTTGGAGACTTTGTAAATTTTGGAGATCAACCCTCTGTCAGATGTGGGGTTAGTGAATATCTTTTCCCATTCTGTGGACTGCCTTTCTGTCTTGTTGACTGTGTCCTTTGCCTTACAGAAGCTTTTTAGTTTCATGAGGTCCCATTTGTTAATTGTTGAACTCAGTGTCTGTGCCACTGGTGTTATGTTCAGGAGGTGGTCTCCTGTACCAACTCGTTGAAGAGTATCTCCCACTTTCTCTTCTAAAAGTTTCAGTGTGGCTGGATTTACGTTGAGATCTTTGATCCATTTGGACTTAAGTTTTGTACAAGGCGATAAACATGGATCTATCTGCAGTCTTCTGCATACCAGTACCCAGTTATGCCAGCACCATTTGTTGAAGATGCTTTCTTTTTTCCATTGTATAGTTTTAGTAACTTTGCCAAAAATCAAGTGTTCATAGGTGTGTTGGTTTCATCCTTAGCCATCAGGGAAATGCAAATCAAAACAACTTTGAGATACCATCTTACTCCTGTCAGAATGGCTAAAATCAAAACCACCGAAGACAATTTATGCTGGAGAGGATGTGGAGAGAGGGGAACACTCCTCCACTGCTAGTGGG